GAACTAGAAAAGATGAAGAGTAAGTTGAACCGAGATTACAGTTAATCTACGTTGGTGGAATCGGACATTATAGTATTAATTTCTAAATAACAATATTTATTCTTGAACCGAGATTACATCTACATTGGTGGAAATGGGCATAAGTATAGATAAATCTTTCTAAAATGGATCAATATATGTCTCCTTAGAATAATTTTTTAAAGATTTATTTCTATATTTAATACACACACACACAAAGAAAAGTTTAAAAGTAAAGACTTTTAAAAAATTTGTTTCCTTAAGAGTCCTTTTTTTTATTTTCTCTAATATATATATTTCCATGTTAACAGCTAGATAATTAATAAAATGTTTGTAACTCTAAAAGATATAATAATAGATATCTTTTAATAGGTATGTTTTTTAACGTTTGTGTGTTTGAGATATTTAATATTGACTGATAGTAGCTTATCAATTTTTAAAAGTGAAGTCAAAGTCATTTTACATTAGATTGGTGGCTCATATGAAAACCTTAAAAAGACTATCTTTGTAGAATTTGCACATATTTAGACTATTATAGATTCAATTTACAAAAGTAGAACTTGAGCAATATCTTGATAAATCGTTTCAGAAGAAGTAATTTTATTTATCTTTCTATTTAAATTAATGAGTAAATTATTCTCATAATTTCATCTATTATAATTTCATAATTTTATATCAATTCCAAATTTGTTAGTTATATCTATATATGTATGGTTTCATAATACTTAATTACAAAAAATGTAAAAGTAAGACTAATTAGAACAATTTCTCGTGGACACAAATATTTGAGACTGTCAAATGCTTAATGATAGATTAATTAATTACAATATGATAATTACGTTAAACATGCTATTTATTTATCATTTTCGTTTATTATTTAACGATATTTTAAAATATATTTTATAATGCAAAATATAAATACCCTTAGAAAAATTTACTTTTTAAAACTTAAAAAAAGATTACTTAAAAAACTTTTTAATTTACTATAGAACTTTTTAAAAGTTTTGAAGAGTAAATTTGAACACTTTAAAATAGGATTTACTCTTCAAAAACTTTGAAAAATTTCTTTAATAAATAAAAAAGTGTTATATGTTCTTAAATTATTTTTTTTTAATTTTATATAATAAATTTTCCTAATATTAATACTAGTGAATACAAATGTATCATACAGAAATAATAAATAAGAAAAAAAAATTTGCAATTAACCTACAGGTTAATTCTTTTTTCTTGTTTATTACTTCTGTATCGCACATGTGTTTAGTGCTAATAAATGTGCAATGTGAGTAATTTGTGTTCCGCATTTAATTTTCTGAGCATTGCAATATTTACAACTTTAAGTCTTATTAGATGATTTCAAGAATCAAAATTAAAGAAACTTTGAGGCCTTAAAGTTACTTTACACAAATAATGTTATTAAAATAATGTTATAATTTTATTAATTTATTAACATTATTTTAATAACTTTTACTTACTTTTACGCCAACTTTAAGTTACTAAACATCACCATTAAGTTACTTCACATAAACTTTTACATACTTTTCATGAACTTTACGTCTTCAATAACTAAATAAGCAAAAACTCAAGGATATTTTTAAAACTCTGAAATAACTTAAACAAAACTTAAAAATTTTTATAGTTACTTAAAAAAACTTTCCAAATTTTTAAAGTTACTAAACAAAACTTTAATAAATTTTATTCCAGTCTAAAGTAAATTTTATATATACATATACATATACATATACACGCGTGCGCAATAAGATGTAAATTACTTAAAAAAGTTATCGGAAAAACACTAGACATCGTATGATTGTATGGTCAATTTGACACTAATATAATCAAGCGTAATAAAAAATTTTAGTATAAAACAAGATACAAAAAATAATAACACTTTTATAAAGATGAGTCTTGAAACTACGTCAATGCTCAATGACTAGATGCTAACTGTTTGACTTATGCTTCTCGATAGAATAAAAATTGCAAATTAATAATTTAATTAGTAAAGATTAAGAACTATAAAACTATAAAAAATAAATTTTATTTGAAAAGAGAATTTGGGATATTCCATCATACAAATTGCGATGTAGTAGCAGAAGGGAGTTCATTGATTGTTCCGCGGGTTGATGATACCAATTTACTAGCGCTTTTAATCAGTCAAACACGTACGAGAATAATAAGCTTCCATTGTTAATAATGAACTTAAGCGTGAACCAAACAGACATGAATTAATGATCTTTTACATGTGTTTTATTATCGAACTGCTTTGCGACACATGTAGTATGAATGACGATTATTCATGTAAGATTGTATGTGGATATGTAGATTATAAGTGGTAACATAATGATAAGATAATCGACGCGCTTCTACGTAAATAATCTCCGACATTACGAATAAAAGATATAATACACACTTCGTGAACAATAATAATTTGTGTAATTCAATTATGTAGCATCTCTTATACAACTAGCTATTATATTTTATTTAAATTAAATTTTATGTACAAAGGTACAATTAAAATAAGTGTGTAAATCTAAAAAAATGTTTATAGAGAGAGATAATATATAAAATTATTAAAAGCAATTCTCCCATTATATGCAAATTATTGTATGCAAATCATTATATTAACTTAATGTTAATTTAATACTAGTCATAGTTATTATAAATTTAATTTATGTTTTAAATTGTATTCTGGATACTGAGCTTTTTTATAATTTTAATTTTAATAACATTATTACCATAACATTATTACCATAAATTCTTATAGCAATAATTAAGTATTAAAATAATTGTGATTGAATACATTCTCAAATGTCAAAATTTACACTTATATAATACTTTTTTACATATATATTAAATTCTATACGATAAACAAAGAGGATGTCGAGCCAAGACCGGATAGCAGTGTTAATAACAATCTTCCTTTTTCTTACTTCATACCAAATGTTTCGGTCAATATGTGACCATCTTCAGTGTACTTATTATAATTATTGTAATTATGTTACATTAGCCTAATAATTAAAATGAGATTGAGTCCAATCCTAATTATGATTTACATTTGATTCTTTATAATATTAAATCTGGACAGAGCGCCCACGAAATTGAAAGTGTATATTGAGTTTATGTTCCAAAGATGTTAGACTTGTTATACAGGGTGATTCAAAATAACCTGATGTCCTTGCAATGCCATATTCTTGAGCAAATTCTGAGACGATTTTTTCTTTTACAAAATTTTGTCCGAAGCTTAGTTTTCGAGTTATAATTGAAAATAGTTTACTACTTACGAGTCCGATACAACGAACAGGCAGGGACGGTGCAATGCGTCATGAGACGATAGTAAACACTTGACAGTCTCATTATATATTGCGCGTCCCTGCCTGCCCGTTATACCGAACTCGTAAGTTGCTACTTATTTTCAATTATAACTCGAAAACTAAGCTTTGGACAAAATTTTGTAAAAGAAAAAATCGTCTCAGAATTCGCTCAAGAATATGGCATTGCAAGAACATCATGTTATTTTAAATTACCCTGTATAACCAGATGAAAGACAAGTAACTTTCAACCGAAACGTTTGATGTGAAGTAAAAAAAAGGAAGAATGTTATTGGCACTGTTACCCAGTCTTGACTCCTTTTTGATTATCGTATTGATTTTATTCAACGAACCCAGAGACATAAAATTATATTAAATTTATTTCTTCAACAAGTAGAATTTAAATATTAGCGCGGCTTTTTTAATTATGTCTCGCTATGTTATTAAAAAAAAGGATACAAAACATAATATATCAATTTTTTTAATATATTATTTTTCGACCATTTTTTGTAACTTTTGGTTACAAGTTTTTAACGTAATTTTAATATCATGATTTTCGCGCGTTTTAAGTCGTAATCTGACATACTCGTCTCATGATTCAGTCCGTTAGGAAGGCAAAGGAATGAGGAAAAATGTCCATGAGTTTACGGGGAAGAGAATAACTGTGACTGTTATATGCAAACATGAGCAATGTGCTAATGGCATCGACAAATTCGCGGTGAACAATGTTTAAGTTTACTTACACCATGAACAAACGGTGCCGCGCGGTTGTATACCGTTTACCGCGATCATTGACAAATTTAGATCATTGTAAATTTGTGAATGGCTGTCTACTAAAATAGTCAATTTTAGATACATTTTAAATAAAATAAATCATCAACAAATAACAAAAAACAATACAATATTGGAGTAAACAAAGAAAGAATGTAAGATCCAAAACTGTTTATGTTCAATTTTTTCTGCTTATCTCTAAGCTTAATTTAAAAAAATCTACGTACAACATATTAAATAATAGAATACAAATTTAATAGGCAAAAAATTGAAGATTTATATACTTTTCAGCAATCCATTCGCTCTTACATTTATTTTTTTAAATGGATCAAAGTGTATTGGATAAATATATAAATAAATGTTCAATTAGTTCGACAGTCTTCTTGCATATTCAATTTAATTTAATTTAATTCAATATGTAATTTATTAATATTATTAATCTCAATTTAATATTTATATTCCCGGTTTACGTTAAACAATATTGTTCTGTATTTGTTTCAGAAGTTTTCGGTCAAGGTGACGAAGAGGAAAACTTACTGTAAAGTGAAAGAAATTGGGTCACAACCATGAAATCCATGTTTGCGCTACAGCAGTTTAAAAGTGAGTAATGTTCGATTTGTAACGGGATGCACGAATGCTTAATTATAATGATAATAAATGACCGCAAAGTGTCATTAGTTCGAGGAGAAATTTGGAATACATATTTCATGCATTTTTGCTGTGGTATATAATTTGTATAAATTTTAATTAATACGTATACTCAAATATTACAATATTTTAGAAATAGCCATTTGGATCATTTGGCGATTGCACGTAATTATTGAACTCGTTATTTTATTTATTTCACGTCATGTATTTTTTTTTTTAATTGATAACATAATAAGGAAAATTGATCTTGTATAAACATTTAGCGAATTTGAAATTTATCTTTTTCACTTTTAATATGTTAACTTTTTAAAATCTTTTTTCAATACTGTACTGTTATATGAGATATATATTTATAACAGTTTCCCGCATTCTTGCATAGCATTCTTTTAAATGCTCAAAATACAAATTTATGTAAACTAATGTTATGCATAGAATCACATATTAAACACATATATATCCAGGATCGCATTTACACTTTTGGAGGTCCAAAGCGCAACATCATTATGAGACCTCAAAAAACAAGTCTATTTTAGTTAATCAAATTCATACGCATTTTTTTTTAATTTATTGAAAATGTCGACATGCATTACATGATGCAAAAAAGCGAAATTTAATAAACAATTACCGCTTACAAATTTTCCAGCGGTCTCTAGTTTTTATATTATAAATTTAATATTTAAAAGTATTTTATTTTGCAACTATAACTAAGCTGTTTTTTATATTGCTATTTGTGAAGAGTAAGGTTTTAAAATGAGGCCCCAACTTGCGCTTAATGCGTCTTATGGTAAATGCAGTCGTGTTGTATATCACATGTTAAACATATTTTTATATAATCTTTTATAGTCGAATATATCGGCTATAAAGAGTCCATTAGAACCTTAACAGATACTTTGATAAATTTAGGTACAATCTATTTTTAAGAAAAAATTATCTATTATTTGTTGCTATTTATCATAATATTAAATATCTCAATAATGAAATCAATCTTGAATTGACATTGTAAGAAATGGTTTAAATCACAAAATATAGTTTTGCTTATAATTATCGTATTTTTAATAACTTAAAAATTTGACAGTTTAATGAACAAAATCGATGATTTTCAAATACGTTTCTAAGAATCTGTTATTTATATTAAGTAAAAGTATGTTGTAATTCCCTTCAATGATCAGTACTCTATGATGTAACGCTATACGCATGATAATGCTTCCAATATATATTTATGCAATATATTTGCATGATATTTATGTGCAATTAGTTCAACTAATTTACTGAACAATTACAAATACAAAACAATTGAACTAATCCTGTGTGTACAAATTCGGCTAGTACAAATTGTAACTAAGTTATAAAAAAATACGTAATAAAATGGACGAAGAATACGCATAAACTGACGTATTCGTTCGTGATGTATTCAGTGAGATCAACTTAGGTAATCAAAGTCGATCGAATCTTTGCAAGAATAGTATTATTCGAAGATTTCGAACGAACATGATAACCTTGATTGACACCATTATTACAAATAATACGGAATTCGAGTCAAGGCAAGCCGCTATTTATCGCACAAATTGTATCTCAAGACGTGATTTCTTGACATATTCTAATACATCTAACAATTATGGTATCATTATACATTAAAATAATTTATGTTCTATTAGACGCAGTAAAAATTGAGAAAAAGTAGAAGTTTAAAAAGGCTTTAGTTTTACAAAGAAATAAATTATCAAACAAAAATAAATTAAGTATATTGCATATTTATATTTCATTATGTCAAGAAAACGCATTTCTGATTTCTAGTTTAGAAAGTAAAGCACTGCAGCAGATCAAGTTGAAAAATGCGCAATAAATATTATGAACAATCAGACATCGAATATATGTATATGTAAGAGACAGTATATGCGACGAGACAGATAGCTTCAACAAAAAAAACATCTCTCAAGACGTGTTCTGAGGCTATTGTCTTTGGTGCCTTATGTTTTTATATCTTTGTCTCAATTACTCGATAAAAAAGTTTTAGTTTCTTCCATTCAAGGGCAAGTATTATGAACTATTGACAATTGCTTTGACAAAACATAAAAAATGAACTGTCTTTCTAGATTACAATCAATCTATTTAAGAATTTAATTTTTGCAAATTTTTATAAATAATAATTAAAAATGGTTTTGTTGTAAAATTTACAGTTTTTTTCACAATTGATTTGTTTTATTTATTCGACACATTAATATATAGCAAAATGCATATATAAAAATTATAAGAAATAGCATTGATAACACGTTTCAAGGCTAAATAAGTATACAATACACGTATACTTAATAAGTATAAGTATACTCTGTAGGTTTTGAAGTGCAAATTAGACATACACGTGCTTAAACATGCTTTCAAATATGATTCTCAGAAAGATGTTTGCAATGTGCTATACTTGTACATATGATCTTGTGAATAAAGAATCGCGAGGGTCGTGAGGACACGCTGCTTTAGTTTTTATTTGATAAATACAATATGGCCTCGTAATATTCTTCCGGGATTATTTAATCAGTAGACATATCTTACTAATCGTAAGCGTAAATGTAATAAATAAATCCACTTTTTCTATCCGTCAATCTAAATAGCAACAATAAAATAAAAAATTTGACTGATAAAATTAAAATACGTTTCAAAGTTTATAAATATTCTTTGAAACAAAAATTTACTCTTGAATTTGTTTATATATCGTAAATTTACTACTTTTTTATTTAATTATAAATATTCTTAGTAGTATAAGTATTCCTTTAATCGATTATTACCTACCCAATAAACATTAGGACATTCTATGTACATCCTATGTACATCTATATGTCCTTCTATATACATATATAAATATTGTATGTTCTATGTATATACAAAGAATGTGAAAAGTATATACATCGCATATCCGATAGTAGCCGCGGACTATGAAGAAATTATAAAAATTTTTACTATGTTTTTTACATGTGAAACATAATAAAAAATTTTAGTTCGCGGCTTCATGGTCCGCGGTTAATGCTGTACATCAAGTAATTTTTGATATAAAATTTTTTCCGTGTATATTAAGAAAAAAAAAAAACAAAGGAGCTAGTTTTACGTGCTCAATTGTTTATTTGTTAAGCACAAACGTTTCGATTATAGTTTTTGGCCTTCTTCAGTGTAGAAAAAGTAACATTATAATTTCTTTAACGCCAATTTTACAGACCATTTTAACCAGAAAAACAATGAATCTAATTTTTTCTTTTCGCACGCAAATTAAAACATTTTTCATAAAGACTAAGGGCGGAAGTCCGTTCTTATATTTAAGATTGTCTTAAGTATAGTCTTAAGATGTTATGAACCAATCAGAAAGCCATATTAGTATCTTAAGACAGTACTTAAGATAATCTTGAAATAAGAACGGACTATCAATACCGCCGCCCTAAGATCAAGGTAATCATCTACCAGAAGTCATTTCGCATAAACAAGTCAGTTATTCATTATAAATGAGTAAAAATTCTTCCCTGACTCTCCTCCCTGACCCTTAGTTATAATTGAAACATTGTAAACATAATAATTATATTTTTTACAAGTTCTTCACAACTTGTTTTATGTGCATATGCTTGACAAGTCTCGATTAAAGATTAAAATTATGTACTTGTCTCATCAAAAGTATTGGCTTTACGACGCGATATATTATTGTAAATAATTAATTAAAGATATATATAAGCCAGTTAGAGCCGGAGCTAGTTTTATGTGCTCAGGTTGTTTATTTACTTGTTAAAAACAGATGTTTCCACCATGGATTTCTAATTTCCAATTCTATAGTTTTGTACAATACTGTAATTTATAACTAAGAACTAGAGAAAATTTTTTATTCATTCGAGTAACGAATAACTAACATACTTATATGCCATTTTATTCTTTTCTTTGTAGTTCCGGATACTGTGGGAGATTTTAATCGGTCATTGCTCTGCCATTTGAAGACGACGTATCGTCGCGCGAAACTCGCCTCGAAATCTCGAAATTTCATTACGAAATCCATTAAAAATAATAAAAAAGAAACAACGCGCGTACTACTTGTTGACTTATTCTAATTGTAACACAGATTCTAATTTCACAAATACCAATTCTTGCGATACAGAAAATTCTCGCAAAAAATGACGCAGCGCTTCAAGGCGTTAAAAATAACACTTTCGATAAATCGACAATCTTGCTAATGTGCGAATAGATTACAGCATGTTATATAACAAGTGTGTATACAGGATGATTCAGAACAATCTACTGTTCTTGCAATGCCATATTCTTGCGCGAATTCTGAGACGATTTTTCCTTTTACAAAAATTTTGTCCGAAGCTTCGTTTTCGAGTTTTTTAATTGAAAATAGTTTGCTACTTACGAGTTCGATACAACGGGCAGGCAGAGACGACGCAATGCGTCATGAGACGATAGTAAACACTTGACAGTCTTATTTTACGTTACCGGACTCGTAAATTGCTACCTATTATCAATTATAACTCGAAAACTAAACTTCGGACAAAATTTTGTAAAAGGAAAAATCGTCTTAGAATTTCCTCAAGAATTTGACATTTCAAGGACAGTAGATTGTTTTGAATCACCCCGCATACACAATGCGCATAATAATCTTTAAATCACCGAATTGAATTTCGGTTCATAAATTCTTTCTATTTTTCAAGAATGAACGAAGACCAAGGTCAATAGCAAGCAAATATGCGCCGAAAGACATCACTCTGATGTATACTTGAAGTGTGAAGAGGTAAACAGAGAGTTATCAAAAATGTTCAATATTTTTTCAAGATTTTTGTTTACATTTTGAACGTCGGTTTGTGCATACCGAAAAGCGGTACTATCAATTTAATGTCATGATTTATTTGTTACACAACAACATGCTATGATTTATTCGGGCATTAGCAAGATTGTTGATTTGTCAAAGTGCTATTTTTAACGTCTCTGAAGTGTTTACTTAACGTAAACCAATATAAGTTATTTGATCAAAAAAACTAGTAGTCAATGTTAAAAAATAAATTTCAAATCTATTATGTAAATAAAAATAGAAATATTACATTTTACATATTTTTATTTGCCTTAAATATATGTTAAATATCTAAAAAATAAATTTTAAAAATTTGTAGCAAATTTCTACAAAAAAAAAAACTAATTTCATCCAGTATAAACAGCATCCAGTATAAACCGGTTGAAAACAAAGTAGTAATAACTATCAGAATTAAAAATAAAATATATAAAAAATGATTTAAAAATATGAGTTGAGATGATTTACATCATTGAAAGATTTTATGACCGTTCATAAATTATATAAATTAATTATAGCTTGAAAGAACTTGAATATAATGCATCTGTATATAATTCTATATGCAACGTTATTAATTATAAATGTAATATCTACATACATCATTTTAAATTTCAAAACATTTAATTACAAGTGCAAACACTATTAATACTTTGTTTCTAATCTTTATGATAATCAGAAATCTATTGCAATTATATAAGAATTGTGCATTGCACTCAGTAATAAATAAATCATCACCTATAGAAAGCAAGTTTTCATCTTTATGATGCAAAATGCTCACCTGACGTGATTTCAAGTAACATGACACGAATGCAAAACGTTGATGTTATTACATCGACAAATTGTCACTATACTGTTTTTATACAAAGAATGTAAAGAGTTAATATTATTGAAAAAAGTGTAGACATACATATATAAATATGTAGTTTGTCAATAAAATAGCATATTTTTACTAAAAATAATTAATAGTATTTGATTTATATAAATAAGTAATAGTATTATATTACAGTATTATATAATATAGCAGTCGTTATATAAACACCCTCTTCATTATTTCAGTATTATAAAGAAATAAATGTTTTAAAGAGGGTTCTTTTCCACATTAATTTATCAAAAGAAAAGAGGTTATAAATAATTTATGTAATCGTACAATTAATACAATACGCTATAGAAATTCGAAAATATATTCCAATTCGATATTAAATCAAATAAGTCAATGATGTAAACAAAAATTAAAAAAAAGTTTTTTATTTAATAGAACAATAAAGAAGAATAAATATTAAATTTGTGCCAAAAAAATGTATAGTTATTAAGACTATTTATAATTTGCTAGGCCTAAGAGAACAATTAATAGTAAATAATAAAAATATGTATCTTTTTATAGATTCTAAAAGAGTTACAGAAAAAGTTTTTTAGACGTTTTATACTTTACTCATAAGATGTTTATCGGTGTATACTATAAAAGTTAAACATTAAGTTTTGATTATATGCTAACATTAGCGCACATTATTCAGATATAAAAGACGTGACCTCTTATTATAAAAAATATTTTTTTCTTTCTAGAATGCATTATCTTGTTTATAGTGGGCATCATGAGCAGTTTTTTGACTTATCTAATTTACATTGCCGACCCTGTAAAATTGATACTGGAATACGTAAGTATCTACAAGTAATAAAAGATAACCTATAAGCGATAGATATGTATAAGCATCAAGAAGAATACTGAATGCTGGAAGAATAAGTAAAAGACAGTATAAAAATTAAGAAAAAGTTCCAATGTCAAAAAATGTTGAAATCAATTTATATATTGTTTTTGTCATTAAATAAATAAATAACTTTCTTTTAATTGCGATGTTGTATGAATTATTTAAAAGAAAAATTTATTTAAATTTTGAAAATTTACATTATTTTATAAACTGTTAAAAATGTAATGTCAACTTTGGATATAATACCACATATTTTACATAATATTTTAATCTTTAAATATTATATCATTAAAATTCATTTATTTGAAACAAGGCTATCTATTATTATAATACATATTCTTATAATAAAACGCTTTACAGATCAATTATAAACAATTGTTGCAAATTCTTAAACTGCGAATGGAGAGTAATATATTCCGACACTCAAACTTATGCTATATTTACAGAATTTACAAATGGCACCACACTCGATGCTTTTCTCAATATGGAAAAAACCACCTCTTGATCTTTACTTGAACATCTACATATTCAACATTACCAATTCAGAAGAATTTCTACACGGCAAAGAGAAGCTCAAAGTCGAACAACTCGGACCATATGTCTATCAGTAAGCAAGTCTCATAATTTTTACTTGTATAATACTATCATAAAATATTATTTATTATAAATAGAATGTATTATATGCACATATTTAGAGTGGATAACTCATAGATTATTTTTGGGGCCTAAGTATACATACTTATTTGTAAGTAATTATTTGATCAATTTTCAGAGAATTTCTTGAAAATGATAATGTCACATTTAATGACAACGACACCATAACTTTCATCCCTAGAAGAAAGGTAGTTTACGTGCCCGAAATGTCAGTCGGTGATCCGAAAAAGGACAAAGTTATGGTTCCAAATATAGCTTACTTGGTAAGCAGAATAAATTATTAAATTTATTATAACAATATTAATTAAAATTTCTTAATAAGTGGTGATAATCAAATATTTTTAATTTTTCAATCTTGAGTCGTTGTTAGAAGCATAGTTTTGGATTAAAAATAAATAGATATCTATAATTATAGCTCGAATAAAAAATGCGACCGTATCCATCATAAACCTAATTTATAATATAATGGTTCAACACATCATAAATCAAAATTTAATTTACAAATTAATTGTAAAATAATGTTAATTTGAAAATATTGCATTATGCATAATTTTGTTCATTTATATGCGGAACAATTAGTAATCAAATGTCAAATGTCAAACACTTTGCTCATAGATTTTTTACATATTGTTTTATGTATCATATAATTCTTATTTAATTGCGTTACATTGCCTTAAGCAATAAATTAAAACGACAATCGTGCAACTTTAACATAATCGATGCCCAAAGCAATTGAAAATATATAATTTGAATGTGTTTATTGAAATGTACAATTCTTTGCAATTTTACATTATTCACGTTCATTAATATTCACTTTGTGACAAAAAATTCCCACAGAAGATAAAACACAATTTTAAATATTTGAGACGTTTCAGCGTCAAACTGGTAAGAAACTGAAAATTGCTACTAGCTGAGAATTTTTTCTAATTGAAGAAAAAACAAAGAAAAATAAGGAAAAATTGAAAAAGTATATTTATACTTCTAATTAGTTTAGCATCATTATATTTAATTACTTTATGACATAAATATATTTAAGAAAATAACATTTTTTACATTTTATTTAAAATGTAGGGTCATTTAAAATAATTTGACAATAAAATAAAATTTATGTAAAAATTTTGTGACGCAGGGTGTTTCATCTGCTTTACATAATGCTGGATTTTTCGTAAATTATCCTTTTATGCAATTGGCAAACATGATGAATACCAAAACGATACTCAATATCTCAGTATACGATTATCTGTGGGGTTATGAGGATTCAATGGTGTCACTGGCTAGTAAAATTGTGCCAAACTTTATTACTTTTCAAAAATTGGGCCTTCTGGACAGGGTGAGTAAATAGATTTCTTAAATAGAAATATTAAATAATTTTATCAATTGACAAGTATTAGGAAATCTAACAATTCAAAGCAATAGTGCACTTCTACGCATGAGTATCCAGCGGCAAAAGCCTATTTTATAATTCTCATATTTAACCAGTTTAAAGTGAATTGGTCAATCAAAGAATTCATGGTGGCCTAGTTATTATCGACAAAGTTAATCATAGATGCTTATATAAATGTAGCGCACCTTGGCTTGACGGTAGAATTTGTAGCTTTAGCAATGTGTTTACTTTTATCAAACTCGCGCTCGCGTGCCGTGTGAGAGTGGCTGGAAAAGTACGATGACCGAGAATGTCAGTGGCGCAGGGTGAAGTCCAGGGAAATGGAAAAGAGTGTGTTTTAATTAGGCATATCATATAAACGTCGGCGCCTATTTGTGATTACTAAATCGCGGACAAACTGGTTAGAATCCGGACGCATTTTCGCAGAACTCATTTAAACATGATCTTGCGTAAAATGTGTTAGCTACTATTCCGTTATACATAATTCCCATTTATGTAAAAGTTTATAATGTTCTATATAGATAACAAATGAAAATGTAAGAAATGATTCAATCATTTTAATATAGTAAGTCACTGAAATAAAAATTTCTAGAAATAAAGACATAATTCTGTATCTTTTCAACAAAAACGTATACTCGCATAAATCATTGCAATTCATTTTAAAACATTGTAGAATGAGGAAATAATAAGAATGCTTTAGTCATTCCTAACCGCCAGCTATACTGTAGTTACTGATATCATCAATAATTGTGCTGTGTATAATCAAAGATAGTAAGAAACAGATCTGTAATTTGACAAAAAAGAACCAGTACTTTAATATGTAAATTCGCAAGCAATGTTAAAGGAAGCTGAAGAGCTATTTTTGTTTCTAAAAGAATATATCTAGATTGTATTATTAGATCTAGAATATATTCGCTCGGTCGAGTTGTTCGGAATTGATTAAAATTGAATAAAATTTCTAGCCATTCACTTGAAATCCACACATACACGAATTTCTGCAGCGCAGGCATTTTTATGCACGACTAGTCACCTTTAAAATTGGCTTATCATGTATAAATATATATTAAATGATTACATATACAATAATCATTTTAGATATATAAGTAATTAACAGGTAGTTCCAAGAAAAATTTGATACTTGATTTCATTTATTCTTTTTACATTTCTCAAATTAATCATTAATTTTACATCCATTAGTTCAAGCTTAAGAATATTATTCAAAATTTATTTTAATTCTATTATTATCGTTTTTTTTTTTTTTTTTTGTAATTATTTTAATTCTTTTCAAGCAAAACTTGGTGCAATGTACATCTTCATCTCTATTATTTTTTATGCAAACGATAAGAATCGTAATATATTTTACAAAAATAAAAAAAAAGCAGACATTTAGAACTTCCCTTTCTATTTTTTTCATCAGATTTCTATTATAAAGCAATTACATGTGTAATTTCATAATCTATGACATAAAACTGATCGTGATTATGCGGTAATGTACAAGAGCAAATAAAACGGTGTCGCGGACTCGTATGTCCCGAACTGCTGTCGCTTTTCGCAATTATTGCGAGCTACTGATCCTTTCACTATTTACACACGCTCGTTTCAGGGTTCACGAGGTTAGTGTTAATAACTTTCAGCACTGCACGGTTTCAAGGAATACGCATGATTTCCGGACGCACCTTTCTCCCGTTGCATTAACAATTCAAGTAATTTTAATGTCCTTTTCGGAGCATTATTATTTATTTATGAGTCTCAGATTTTCCATACAAAGAGCATTCCGATAAATAATAGCTTGAAAATTTCAATAATTAAAGCATTTTACCAAAACTATTTTTAATATATTATCAACTCTGAAAAGATTTGCATAATGTATGTTAATAATTTTATGTCGATAAGAAAAATGTTTGAAAATAAGACTTAAAACAAATTTTGATATGGATTTATTAAGTTGTATCTATAATTGTTTAGATGTACGACGAGGGAGAAAACATTGTGACGCTAAATCTACGAAAAGATGTTGACATGACGATTGAGAAAGGCCGATATCTCAGTATTGATAAATACAATGGTAGTCCCGGATTGGCGCAATGGGGATATGTCGGAACGGAAGGCAACGAGACAAAAAAAGAGTAAGAATGTAATTTTCATAACTGTACTGCGGAAAAGTATATTTTCCAGGAAAACAGACTACAAACTATTTTTAAATTTTCCATCGTTTCTATGTTGTTTTTATCGTCATTTATGCATGAAAATACAAAGTAAAGTAGATACCATTTCATTCTGTTAAAAGGTGCTAAGTGGCGACATTCTTAAGAATATCATAAAATTTATGGACACACTTTTATTAAAATTCAAACAGTGCATTAAATTAAGACACCTTTAACGTGAATGAAGATGACTAGTACAAATGTACATAAAACCATGAAAGTTAAATATTATTCCGAGAATATTTAAATGGTGACGTATTTGATAAAAGCTATTGCGTATTTCTGTGTCACAATTTGTGTAATTATGACGTGCTTCGGAATCTTAATAAATTCATATCAACGTATTTGCGTGCTTCGGAATTTTAATAAATTTATATCAACAAATTTAATTAGTTTTTTTATAAATATAATTCAATAATATACAACAACTAATGTAAGTTTATTTTTAATAAATAAATAATGTTTTATTTTATTATTTAGTAAGAAACAAATAGTTTAAAAATTAAAAAGAAATAAATATAAAAGAATAATATAGATCAGATATAATTTTAATGCATATATCTTTACGAATTTAAAAAATTGAACAAATTGCATAAAATATTAATTAAAAAAGCGACTTTTAAAAAATAGAGTAATTCAATTCAAGCATATTTTTTAATCGGGTATATTTTTATTTTATTTTAATATACGTATCGAGTAACGCGTTAAAATTCTATATGTCTCAATGTTGAAATTTATACTGATCAATTAGCATATCTGATCAGAATTTATTAAAACAACTGTTACTTAATGTTTCTACATTTTCTGTTGCAATATGGATAAAATAACATTAACATTTATCTTTGTTTTTTCTTTTTTTTCTTTTTTAGGAATAATAATTGTAATACGCTACAAGGCGCTACGGAAGGCATCATATTTCCATCGAACATAGACAAGCGTGCTATCTTTAGGGTCTTCAGGAAAGCGTTTTGTCGAGCGCTACCGATTATGTATAGGAAAGAAACTTGGGCAAAAAACGGGTTGCCAGGATATCTCTACACTCTCACTGATGATTTTGCCGATCTACCCGATCAGAATCCGGACAACGCATGCTTTTGCCGTAAAATGAAATCTTGTTTAAAGAAAGGTCTGCTTGATGTAACGCCGTGCTACTACAGTACGTATTTCGTAAAGATGGCAAACTTGAAATATTTTTTAACACGTTTAACAAGCATTGCTCTTCAAATTTGTTATTCAATCAATATTATTTATATGAAAATTAATAGGTATATTAAGATTAAAAATGTGTTTTGCATGTAAATTAATATAATCCACTGAAAAAAAAAACAAAATGAGACTAAAGTAATTCAGAATCAAAGAGAGCAAGTTATTTATTTTTATCATATCCATAATTGTTATATTTCTTTTTAAATGCCACAATGATGTAATGCAAAACAGTTTGAAATGTTATGTAAACTAAAAGAATACTTGGTAATTTAGATGTGTGTGCTTAATATATAATTCGTCTTACACAATGGTATGAAACAATTAAGGTCATGCTGTTTTGATCTTTATAAACAACGGTGTTAACGAAAGAAACTAAGTTTTTTTACAGACGTATTTTTCTGTGTGGATTTACAACTTAGATAATAAATCAGAAGTTAAAGCTTTTTATCAGTTTCCATCCTTTTCTATTAGTGCTTTATTTATTCTCATTTTTTTAATTATTCTCATTTTAATTTATTACTTTAATTTGTTATTAATATTATTTTTATAAAGTCTCAATGCATATGTATATGTAATATGTTATTATAAAAGCATCGCTTGTAAGTCCATAATTTTGATTATCATTTATCTGACGATACGTTTCATTGCGTCATTGTTACAAAGGCATTAGTTCACGCGACCTTATCTACAGGTCATTTGCCTTGAGCTTGCTATAAATGACCATAATTTTATTATTTCCTTTCTCAATGTCAAGAGTCATTAACGTAACCATTCTGAGAATATGCACAGAATTAATTAATTTAATAAATTATTTATATCTTCCTCCCTTTTTTTAGATATTCCAGCAGCAGTATCGCTTCCACATTTCCTTCGTGCTGATCCGAGTTTGCTAGAGAATATAGAAGGTCTTAATCCGGATGAGGAAAAACATGAATCATATGTAATATTGCAGCAGGTAAATAACATCATAATATAATATTCAAAATAATTGAAAAATTTACTTGAGATATTTTGTCAAATCTTTGAATTAGTAAATTATTTTATTATAATTTTGCATTATTATTAAGTATAATTATTATTATCAATTTTAATATAAAAATAATTTTTTAATTTAATATAAACTTTTATATTTAATGTTTATTTTTGTAAATTGTTTTATTAAACATTACTCTAAAAAATCAAGCAATAGTTATTAATAATAAATACAAATTATGATTACAATAAATAAGCATCCAGTTATCTATATTTTTATATAATTAATATTAGATAAGTCTTATGCACACTGATTATTCAATCACGATACTATTTCTTAGAATTATGCATGCATGCATGAAGAACGTTCAAAAGCTATCTATTAGTTATCCAGTGCTAAATTAATCTTATCTAACATCTAAGTAACAGTTTAATAAGTCTAAGTCCGTATAATTAAACTACTCAGTAAAAGTAAAATTTTTAATTAAATCTAAAATTTAAATCCAGTTCTTTTTCTAGCCTCTGTTTGTAATTATAAATGCCAATGTATTATTCTATAATAAACTTATTCTCATGACTGTGTTATTATTTCAGGTAGTTGGTGTGCCCATATTCTTTCATTCGAGGTTACAGACAAATCTGGTAATGCATCACACAAAATACAATACCAAAATTGCGCCTTTCAATGATATGGTGCTACCTTTATTTTGGTTCGATATGGTGAGTAATCCATAGTTTTGTATATCGATTTGTAAAAATTATGCACTTCTGGGAAAGTTGAGACGATTATATATCTCTCTTCGCTTTCTCTAGTTCACTTCTTTTATTGCACCTAGTGCATTAGTCACCGCATAATTTCAAACACGTAAACAGATAATGCCGGACAATTGTAAAATTATTGATTATTATTATTGATTATGCGTAAATCACTGATTTTTAAACTGCCTTTTCAAGCGCAGTTTTTTTTCATATTTATATTTCAGTCTAATAATTTGTGTTACACATGTAAGTCGCGGATTATAATTTATTTTATTTATCTTTATTGTAACTATAAATATATTAATTTTATTCATATTAACTTTTTCAATATTATGGTCTAATGTTTGATTTCTTTCTGTTAGACTATTCTGACGATACCGACTTATCTGCTGATCTTATTGAAATTAATACTGCAAATATTACCAATTGCACAGACAATATTAATGTATGTGCTTGGTATAATCGGAGTAACAACGATAGTATTATCGTTAATGTCTATTTTATGGGTTCTCAATCAAGAACAAAAACAAGAGCATGAGGCATCGAATAGAAGTATCGATAGCACTGATTTAAGAGTGCCCTTATACAACGGTCCATATACTTCGATCAATATTTTACCGACAATCAAGAAGATGACGTCAAAAACGGATCTATTTAGTTAAACAAAAATAAAAATTTTCACATGTAATTGCTTGTCAATAGAAATATGAAAAGACTTTGATCCAGCGTATCGACGAGTAGTCTGAGACAATTTAGTGGATTATAAATAAAATAAACTTGTGATTACTTTTTGCGCTTCGTAGTAACAACGAAAAATTGCAGAAAGTAATCATTTAGATAAATTAAGATAATATATGTACAATTAAATGTTAAATAAGCCGATGGTATGTCTGGAAATATATTTTTGATATTGTATTGTAATATCAAAATTATATACTTTTAAGTTCGATAACGAAAAATGTAGATAAGATACTGCATGTTCATATTGTGCAAGTTTCTGGTTATACGCCATAATTACATATTCATAAAAAATTTAGCCAAATGTTAAGATAAATAAATAGAAATAAATTAAATGTATAAGATAAAAATAGTATAATTATAATTTATATATTTGCAGTTGTTATTCATGTGCGCGCGCGCGCGCGTGTGTGTGTGTGTGTGTGTGCGTGCGTGCGTGTGGGGTGTGGGTGTGTGTCACACTAGCGGATCCTGGTAACCCCCCCCCCCTTCCAGTTAAAAAAAATCAATTTTGCTGGATCCGTTTCAAGAATCTTGGTAAAAAAATGCATTAAAGCAGGTCAAACCCCCCCCCCCCCCCCTATTATCGACATCAAGATCCGTTAGTGGTGTGTCATATATATGTAAATCTTTCAATAATATATCTTGTCTATCCAATATCATGATAATATTTTAAAGGATGGTATATATAGTACAGAAAAACTTGTGAGCTATTATGATTTAAAATATATACATTCAATAAGCATATTTAATCTATCGTCACGGAAAAATACAAAAATATTTATTTACAATATTTGTAAAGAAATATTTATAAATTAAAATATTATCAATGTTGAACACAAATTTTCATGCAAATTACAGTCAGAAGAGAAAATTAAAAAAATTACAAATGCTATAGTTAAAAGATTTTAAATATCGTAAACTAAAAAAAATTTATAAAAGCAGAAATATTTTTTATGTTTAATACAAATATGCTGTATTATATAAATATAATATTATTAGTAAATTTAATGTCAACGTATTTAGATAAAAGAAATATATCTGTCTATTTATTCTCTTTAATGAGAAATTGATCAATGTTCAACGTTGATTATGTTAGAATTATAATTAAAGCAGACTCAAATGTACATATATATAGGAATATGTTTTCACTCCGTTTATATAATTTTTGTTGGATTTAAACTTTAAGAAAGGGAGATTATTATGCAATTGTTTATATATTTTGGATTTAAACTTTGGGAAAGGGAGATTATTGTGCAATTATTTTGATACTTGTATACTTATGTTAGTTTATTTATTTGTGTTGTTTTTTCATAAAACATTATTGCGTATATACTTTTATAATAGGTTTGCTCGCGTCGCATGCCGCGACATGCTCCAATCTATAGTATACGTAATACTATACGTAATACTAACGTAATACTATAGATTGAATCATATTGGAGCATGTTGCGGAATGAGACGCGAACAAACCTAATAATACGTGATAAAGTATTGCTACATGATTTACAAAATAAATATGATTTTTGAATATAATTTATGCTGTCCTTCATTTAAAATTTCTATGCAGGTAAAATATAATAAGATAATTATGTAAAGTTAATGTGTACTTTATTTTATAACGTCAACTTTTATTAGTATACTTATATTTGATATTAGTACACTTGATTAATATATCAACATACAATTTTACAACAGAATAATTTTCAAACACATGTATAATATAAAAATATCAACTTTTATATAATATATAAAAATAAATTTTTAATAATACGATGATGTATATATTTTTACAGTATACAGTTTATATCACAATCAGCTCTTCATATTTGTTTTTATATTTGGAGTAAATATCTTAACTCTCTCTTTGATCAGATTAAAAAAAGCAATATACGTTACGATTATAAAAATTTATAAATCGTTCAATTTTCGAAATACGAGTTCCATTTCCGGTCGATTTTGTGCCAATCGATTAGCACACCATTTTCCCATTTTTATTAAATTTTCATATACTTGCATACAGCTTTCACCTGCTTTTTTATCTATCAATAAATAAAGATCTTTGTCTTCCCAAGCATCAATTAAATCTCGTAAGTATTTCTTTTCAGGTCGTGATTTATCATAAGCCCGAAGACCAGTTGCCATTTCGAATAAAACTATGCCATAGCTATAAGTGTCTATCTTTGTAGATAATCTTCTATCATATAAATATTCTTCAGGTAAGTAGGGTCTAGTTCCATGGATCTTGCTGATCTAACAATTATTAATAATAATTGTTATTATCATGATCTAATGAGCATATTGAATGCCAGTATATCATAATATTATAAAGTACATTTTCACATACATACAATGTTTAAATCTTTTAAAATAAAATATAAGACAATAAATCAATTCCTAGTACTTATTTTAACTTATGTATCACAAATCATTCTCGCTGTGCCAAAAATTTATAATTACTTACTTGCATACTGTCCCTTTCAGGGCCTTCTCGTGCCAAGCCAAAATCACCGATTTTGGGTTCAAAATTTTTATCCAACAAGATATTAGCGCTTTTAATATCACCATGAATCAACGGTTTCTCTCCAATAGTATGCAAGTATTGCAATCCACGCGCTATACCTTTAGCAATTTCGTGTCTTTGTATCCATATCAGCGGCTCAGTTTTTTGTCTTAACAGCAATCTGTCCTCTAAAGATCCATTCTTCATTAGCTGATACACTAAGCAGGGTGCTTCACCGCCAAAACTGTACGCGTATAAAGCTAAAATATTTTCGTGGGCATGAGAATTTAGAATTTTGATTTCTTTTAGTGATTGTTGGAGTTGTAATATATAACTTTCCGAATCCGAATCAGATCCTTTCTGTCGAATCTTCTTTATCGCCACTTCGGTGTTTTTCCAAACTCCTACAATATACACAATACATAGTTTAAATGTTTCTTTCAGCTAATGCTTTCTAACAACCTATTTCTATTGTACAAAGATAATCAAGATATAATAAATTCAAGATACAACAAATAAGATATAATTTCTTTTCTAAATTAAACTTCTGTCACATGATTTTGATTTAATCCATATGTTAATGTAAATGCATACCTCTATATACTGTTCCAAAACCACCTTTTCCCAATATATTGTGTTGGTTCCATCCATTTGTGGCAATAGCTAGTTTACTATAACTTGCATGTGGTAAAGTAGCTTCTGCCTTTGGCAGTGGCGATGGCAGTTCATTGATCTTCTTATCATTACTACCAGTATTTGATGGAGATGGTGAGAAAGCAGCAGCTGCTACTGGTGAAGCTACTAGCAAATTATTAGAGTTGCTTGGACTAATAGCCAATTGTGCTATTGGCTGATTTAAAATTTTATCAACAATTTGTGTTGGAGATACACATTGATTAAAATTCTGTGTTCCAATTTTCAAATCCTTGGTATTCTTGTTGAACAGATGGTTGCGTGATATGTACTGCAGATTACCTTCTCCATTATGTAAAAGCCGATGAAATTTCTTATCAACAAAACGTAACAAAGGTACCATTGATTGATAGTGTTGCATTCTAGACAGTAAGACAAACAATTCCTTTATTGTATGATTATGTTGACTCCATAATGTCAAAAGTTCATCTGCAGGATTCTTTTCTTTCCTCAGATTCTGTATCGTTAAAACATCATAATTCATCCATGTACCTGCCAATGTCAGAATATTGTAATAAATCCAATTTAGTTTTGTTATGTACTATGTAATATTTCATATACAACTTAAATGGTTATTACAGTTACTGCTAATTGAAGAGCAAACAAAAATAAAGAGCACAAATAATTAAAAAATTAAATAATAAAATATAATATAAAAAAATTGCAAAGTAAATAATGGAAACAAATAGATTAATAAACAAGTATACTTACACTTTATAAGCATTAAGATTTTTGTACTTACCAGCTAGTTCTTCCCATTTGTCGTTTTGATTCATAATTTTACAAAATTCTGAACGTTCAAAGAAAGGTAACTGATAAATATATTCGACGTTTCCGTTTGCCATTTCACTGAATTGTGAGGTTATCATTGTATAAAAACACTATATTCTTAATTCACTGTGCACGACATATTACATAGCAATATCGCTAAAGTGACGGTAACGAGTGCGACACTTTGGCAAATCAATATTTAATTTATCGTGTTTTTTTACACAAACTGAATTATACAACTGAATCTGAACTAACTACACACATTTACGGATTTCCCAAAGTGACTACTGATCTCATCATGCTGTTCTTTACAACTGCACTCAACTTGAGATAGGTATAGAATTACACGTTAGAAAGAGGAGGAAAAAAGAACAGAGTGTAGTTGAGAAATGAACCTGATGAATTCCCCCGTATTTCCCATTGATGAGATCAGCTGTGATGATCAGCATTTAGACCTAGTAGCACTGTTAGTATCTTTCCCTTATTTGAGGTGATTTAATGCTTATATTACGTTTTTAAGAAGTTTAACTCTCATTATTCAACATTAAGATAACATATAATTGTCGCTAAAACGTGCAATGGAGGTGTTTATGTTCTAAAAATAGATAAAAATTGTGAATTGTTAAATAAATAACAGCTGAAAATCTTGCATACCAGTATGCATCAGATATGACAAGCTGTTTATTGACAAGCGATTTATGAAGAAAGTACCATATACTTGTCAAGGAACTGATTCACTAAAAAGATGCTGTGTCGTGATGGAATTATCAGTTTGTTCTGCTTTATCACAGCAAATTTAATTTCATTTCTACCTGAATTACTATTCAGATTAGGATTCAATGTTCACAGCGAATATTTTACAAACGTTTGGATCCTACATGCATTGCAGTATATTTTTATTAATATACTTGCATTTTTGGCATTTCGTGGGTTTGCTTACCAAGTAAGTGTGATTTTACTATCATGTTGTGTATTTTATTTAATATTTTTACTCATGGGACAATTCTTTCTTTTGCAGGTGGCAATCAGGGCATTGTTTCTTGGATACATATTTGGAATTGGTATATTAGTATCAATTAATGCGCCACCATCATGGCAGATGTTTGGCGTTTATACAGCAATATTAGCAAGTTTTCATTACACAGAATTTTTAGCTATAGCATGGACAAATCCAGCAACATTGTCAATCGACAGTTTTATTCTAAATCATAGCATAGCATATGGTGTAGCAGCGTGTCTCAGCTGGATAGAATTTTTTCTAGAAAGATATTACTTGCATTCGATGAAATCCCCTAGATTTATATCTTATTTTGGTATAATATTATGCATTTTGGGCGAAATATTGAGAAAACTAGCAATGTTTACTGCAAAGCACAATTTTAACCATGTTGTGCAAAGTGAAAAAAGTGACAATCATGAACTTGTTACACATGGTGTATATAATCTATTCAGACATCCTAGTTATGTAGGATGGTTTTACTGGTCTTTAGGGACACAGGTGGGACATTATAAATTTCTTTGAGTTAAGTATTTATGCATTTATGACCTTGTTAATTAATGTTTTATAAATCTTTGTTACAGTTAATACTTCAAAATCCATTCTGCTTCTTTGCATATGCATTTATGTCATGGAGATTTTTTCGCGATCGTGTTCTGATTGAAGAAATAACTTTGTTAAATTTCTTTGGCGAAGACTATGTTGAATATCAAGAAAAAGTACGCACTGGACTTCCATTTATTTCTGGATATAAAATTAATTCATAGCATCCAACAATGGTATAACATGGTATACATTTTATAAATGTATTATAAGTAAAACAAAAACGTTTTATATGTTTGTACAAATTAATTTACTTATAATTATTAATTACAAAATTAAGGAATACTCACCAGTTGTTGTACCCTAACCAAGTACGCTTTCAGCTGTACCTGTAAAAATTAATACATATTTAATTTATTATAAGTTATACATTTTATATTGATTGAAACTATGATAACTATATAGAATAAATGTGTGAATAATTACTTAAAAATTTTAATAAATATTTTTTAAAATGATTTAGATGTCCTAACAAATACTTAATAATATAAATTATAAATATATGTAAATGCATATATTTAAATAATGAACAGAAAGTTACCAGTTAGAGTATTGTAGTTTGTTCCATTTGCTGCGAATTCTGCCTTCAACTGTCTTGCATCCATCGAAGCTCCATCGAAGAATCAAGAAACACTAGCACTTAATTTTGCATATTACCAAACAAAAATCGCACACTATCACTTTTGAAAATCACAGACTCACATCATGAATTCGTCACATACACGAAGAGCGAGATTAAATAAATTTATGCCGCGTCTCATTCACGCAATATATTGATTATTACGATACGTAACAACCATTTAAAATGTTTTACATATTTCAATCTAATGAAAAGCACATACATCTCGCGGCCATGACGTTTTGAACTTCTGTGTCGGTTTGAATTCACAATACGACCAAACGCATTAATCGTAAACACTTGAGATAAATAATACATTCTGATCAACGCCCGTTGCTTTAATCGACCCTCATAAACGAAATTTACACTAATTATGCATTTTTAATCCCTTTAAAATACGATTAATCACCAAGGGTTTGTGCTCTACATTCCGAAACGACGCGCGATAATAGTAATTATGATGGCCATAGGATGGCGCGCGTATCGTTGTTTGACAGTGATGCTACCAGCAGAGAGAAGCCTGAGAGCGGTCATCCCCCCGATTTAGCTGCAACCACAATTCAAGACGCCTCTATGTGCACAAAACGTGCTATGTATCTAAAAGTTATAATCTTGCAACGTAAAAATTGTAAAATAAAGACAAAATATAAAAATAGAATTTACAAAAATTAAAAAAACTTATATGTCGCGATTCTTGGATGCAATTTTTCTTAACAAAATTGTCACGTATATTTATGTTAAAAAGAACTTATTGTAAATTAAGCTTTAACATAAAAATAAATAATGACATGTGCATGTTTTTTATTGAAAATTTATTTTATATACATCAATGTTACCCTACTAGCTCTGTGTTTGACCGACACTTTGTGCACATAGCATGGAACAGAACCAAACATTGTGCACATAGCATGTTACCCACTGGAAAGTATCGTGTACATGGCTCAGTAGTTCAATGTGCACGTTTTGTGCACATAGAGGCGTCTTGAATTGTGGTTGCAGCTAAATCGGGGGGATGACCGCTCTCAGGCTTCTCTCTGGGCGGTATTCATAGTCCGTTCTTATATTCAAGATCGTCTTAAGCACGAACTTATATTCGCTCTCTTCGTCAGACACAATCTATGTGTGACGAAGAGAGCGAATATAAGTCCGTGCTTAAGACAATCTTAAATATAAGAACGGACTATGAATACCGGCCTCTGATGCTACCTTCCATCATAATTAGTCGTTACTTCCTTTTTTTAAAACGTCTTTTTAGGACGTCTTTAATACATTTTTTTTTTTAATTTTTTAGGATTTTCTTCTTTTGTCAGTTTATTAAAAAATTTGAGGGCCTTTTAAATACAACACATCTCAAAAAGACACTTTTCACACAGTAGCTAACATGATATTAATTCATTATATCTTTAGTTTATTGCAATTCTATTATAATCTTTACTAATATTTAAACAAATTTTAATTATTGCAGAAATAATAAATTATAATTAAAATTGTGACCAAATTTCGTGTAGAATATAGAGAGAATACACAGTTTGTTAGCAAAATTATATTTATTGTCTCATTTTCTTTGAAGAATTATTATATAACAATAGACTACATTTATATATTACGGTAGATACTTTCAGTATGTGTGTGTGTAATTTTACATACAGGATGGAACAATACGTATTATTAGATATACCATCTGAAATATCACTCCTAATTGGGGTGTTTTCTTCGGAATGCTATTTGTATTGCTCACATCCGAATGCCGCAATTACAAAAAAAGGCATTTCAGATTGGAATACTTATTACTGCATCCTGTATATATAATGTAATATACATACATATGACAGTATTACATAACTAAGGTTTGCATAAACATTCAAAAGCTTTCATTCGATGTCGGAATATACGGTTATAAGATGTGTTAGAATATAATAATATACAAGTCCATATGCATTAGTTTTCTGTACATGATCATTTACAATATATTATAATAGAGTCGTAGCGAACGTAGAAAATACCACAGGAGCTATGATACATTTCACTTCAGTATCTCGTCTCTTAAATAATGTTAAAGACAATTTAAAGAATTCCATTCAATGATAATTTTTTATATGATGCGCAATATATTTAGCTTCTAAAATATTTTATATTCTGAAAAGTCTGGCATACTTCGCATTTGTAAAGAATATATTAATGAAAGATTATATTAATAAAATATTGAATATCGATAATAAGCACACTGCAGTACGTCTGCTAAAATCATAGAGCAGTTAGTTATTCTGCAAATCATATGATATCTGACGGAATAATTGTTAATTATATGAAAAGGAACAAAAATGGTTCAGAATAATGCTAATATGTATTAGAGACAGACCTCTTTCGTATTGCACGTAAATACATTAGAGATATTTTACATTTTATCGTGTAAACTTATAAAATGCGTACACATAAGAAAAAATGTATTTAATTGACAATTAATTCTTGTGATAGGCCATACTAATATGAAAATTTTATCTATTTTAAATTATTCCGTCTCTAAATATATTTCTAGGATAATCCTGTAAAGATTTAAACCAAATGCATTTATAATTGTTTAATGCATGAAAATAAAATGGTCGGGATTTATGTGAAATATATTGCACTTTAATTGATATTCTGAGTAATGATCTAAGTGCACAGACACGATGTTGACGGTCGAGCAATAATTGTTATTACTTTCAAATTGTACGTTTTACTTTCATAAAGTTTTAAATATAGAGAATATTGGAGAACGCTAATTGTTGTTTTACTTGCACGTATGGGCGTTTCTCATAATCTATTCGATATAAATTTTATATAAGTAGCAACATATGTTTTATATGTACCAATTCTTACCTATCTCAATCATCTCTTATATGCAACTTTCTTTGTTTATATATCACGCACGTAACAGACTGACTCAAATTTTTTAATTAAAAAAAGTAGGTACACGCATGTACATACGTTCAATGATTCTGTTACGATCTCAGTTACTCATTCATTACTTACTTATCAATTCTTGATTATCCGACTATTGCATCAAAAATCACGTGTAAGCATCTACATATATACGATAAATGATAAGTATTCATCATGGTATGAGTGCAATCGAGATTTAGAGAATTAATGTTGATCAATTCCCCATTTGATTATTGAAGTATGTTTTCTTTGCTCCAAGGATCTTATCCTTCAGTCTGTAATATTTAATAAGAGAAGATAATGTTTGTAACTTATATATCTCGCGTTATAAATATATAAATGTGCATTTTTTTCAAAGTGTAAAGATTCGAATACCTAATATCGTATAGAAAAAGTCGTTTGTTGTTTCACCAAAGAAATAACTGCGACCAAAATTTATTGTCTTTTCGATAAATGGGAGAGATATCAAAGTCTTATTATAAAGCTTTGATTACACTCATACACCAGTGAATAATATTTATTTTCTACACCATGCAAACTTGCTTTACCATATTACAAATATGAATAAATCAGCACGTGGCAGTGAAAAATTATAGACTATATACTTCATCGTTAACATATTTTCGTTTCGTATCAGTCATCGTATCAGCTGTTTGCAGCATTCAGCTGATTCGCAAATATAAGACGTCGTGAAGATTAAATAATCAAATAAAAATTGTAAAAACCATTAAAGAAAACACTATTAAAACGGGAAATTTAAAAAATTGCTACATTTTTTTTATTTACATTGTAACTAATAATTTTCGAAAAGCAGAAACTTTTTGTTTTTAAAATAACAATTCATTATTTGCAAATTGAATGTATCTTTTTATATAAATAAAGTGGTATATAAAATGTTATAATTACTTCAATTGTAAAATATTGATATAGCAATATATAAGTGCAAATAGATTCTGTATAATTATGGATATAAAATTGTTTTGTTACTTGTTTAGCAATAATCACTTTCGTATCTTTCACACTTCGTCTTTCCAAAAGTTATTTATAATAAGTCCTGGAATCGGAGAAATACATTTCGCTAAATACATTTTACTTCTCGATTTTTGCATATGCAAAACAAAATGATATATGCCGTTAAATATATCATTAACCGAATTATTGCAGTCAAACAGTTGCATCTTTAAGTTACACAATATTCTGACGACGTTTGATTAACTATGATATGAGATTTGATCTTTGATCTTTCATACTTGTAATGTTCTTTTTTCGAAACATTAGATATGTATGAAAAATTTAACAGATGCATTTGGCTTTAAATCGGACATTTACATTAACGATATTACCCCGCTCAATAACAATACAAATTCGCAGTACATTCCTTAGATATATAATGCAGATTTTCCTTTTAATATCTATCGAGGTCACCATGTGTTAGAAGTCTATCAGTTCGATCACTGTAAAACAAAAAACATGGAGAATTAATAAACATTTAATGATTAGGAATATTTAGAAAAATTTTTTCAACACATATTAAAACATTTATTTTAACATTTGAGGAAAAAAGCTTTATAATGCTGAAAAGTGACATACCGTAGTTTCGCCGCGTTACTTCCGATGTCGTTAAGCATTAAATAATTTACAAATTTATTAGCTGTACATGTTGTATGCAGACTCGTGGAAATACATATCCTTTAGAGATCTGTACATTTATGCGTTCGGGTTTGAGAATGGTGGCTTAGTCTAAAGAGGAATGTGTATTTCCGACAAGTAAGCTCTCAATATTACATAAAATGCCATTATTTAGCTGAACAAGCTTTTAAGTATGTTAATCGCATCTATGCATAACAGCGTAAAAAGTACACTTTGCTCCTTAATGTCCCCAGTCAAAGCGATCAGATTTTGAAGTATAATCAACAATGAGTAACTCGTTATATCGTACGCGGCCAGATTGGACGCGGGTTTCGGATGAATAATATTCACCGGCGGCGGTGGTACAAACGCATCGAACCCGCCCGGGTCTGCATCCGTGAATACTAGTGAAGATGGAATCCATCTTACTCTGAGCAGCGTGCAAAATAATATCCGACGAGATTAATCACTTGATGTCGTGTTATTCAAATAATTCGAATATTAGATTCAGAATATTTGACTGTCAAATTTTGCTTTATGCCGTTTGCTCTTTTGGATATTCAAAACGTATCATAAGTTTCTCTTAATACGATTTAGTCATCTCAAACGTCAGTAATCTAATAAATAATTGCACTGCATAAACCGAATTGCAGTGTCAATCAAATATTCGAATGTATTCGAAATTTGAGATCACTTTACAGTTCTACTTTTTTTATTTTATTAAGATATGTTGGGTTTATATTTTACCTGGTGCATGGTGAGACGTTTACTCCTTTGAGAGCCTTCTCGCCGATATCGATAGCTCCTGAGTCCTGCACCTCCAGAGTGTAAATGCAACCGGAGAATCCGTCGTGGTATCTCCCGTAAGTCATCGCGTAATCCGGTAGTCCGCCTAAATAAACGCTACCTCTCGCGTTCAAGATCTGTTGAAGTCCATCGCTCACACCGCTTTCGGTGTGCTCACCGTTCAATTCGATGCTACCGTCGCTTCCTTGGCGTTTCAAAATTATTCTATGTCGTTGCCCGTCATCGACTCGTTGCGCGGTGACGCGAATCACAGCGGGACCGGAACCTAAATTATACTGATACTCTACGTATCTAGATAACAAAGCACAAAGTTTTTAAGAGTTAATATTTAAATTTTTTTATTAATTAAAAATTTTAAGTAAAGTTTTGTGTCTTAAAAAATCGGACCTTAAATTAATTATTTTTTTAATTTTAACTGTTTTACTTTTACTGTGCAAAATTTTTATATAAATTTTAAACAATGTGTCCCCCAACATTATATCTTATACTGTAACATATCTCGCTTACCCATCCACTACAGCAACAGCTATGTAATCATCGAGAGTTAAATCATTCGGTGTTTGACCATGCCACATAATTAATCCGTTGCTCTTATTAGTGCTGATTTCGAGGCCCAAAAATTCACGTTCTTCTTCGTGCGTCATAACAGACCGGTCTAATTCCAACCAACCATCTCCTCTGAAGGCGACATCGTATGTGATTTCCGCCACTGCAAATGTAGTCCCATAATTTGTATAATTATTTAATTATTTTAATTATACTAGAGTGCTATTATGATAATCTAAAGATTGCAAATCTTTAATAAATCTTAAAGACTGCAAAAGATAATTATTTTACATATTTTTAAACTTTTGTAGTCGACATATTTTTATTATAATTGATTATAATTTAAGTATAAATGATCATACTGTGCACTTACGTTTTTCGCAATTCTGCCCGTTAAAACCGAGAGGACAATCACATTTGTAAGATCCGTGGAGATCGGTGCAGGAGCCGCCGTTTCTACACGGTGTGAGCAATTCGCACTGCTTCAGTACATTTTCGCAATTTCTGCCCACATATCCGTATTCGCATGTACACGAATAATCATATGCGTTTAGACTCTGACACATGCCGTGGATACAAGGATTTGATGCGCAGGAATCGTATAGTGTTGTTGGCGATTGCGTAGATGTCGGAACGGTAATAGTAGTATGAATCATTGTTTGATTTGGATGCGGCATTGAACAGTCTTCGATATTGGCTGCATCAATTGATGATTTTAATATATCCACACTGGCGGACGAGACTTCGAGCTGTATTATAGTAATATAATAATAAAAATTAAAAAAGGGCTGTAAACTATTATAAACTTATGTTTCTCTACTGAAATGGAATTATAAATTAATGCGATAAACTTTCGGCTATTATTATATTAATTTTTATAATTATTTAGCGCGTGAAAGTTTAACAAACTTTAAGCTTTCAAATGCTTTCTTTAATTTTTTGCTGAGTTTCATAATTTGAAAATTGTTCGGTTTTAAGCATCTGAAAAGTTATCTATTTTTTGTAGAGTAGTATATTATTCAATGATAACACTAGACAAGACATTTTATATCTCTTCTGTATGCTTATCGCTATTTATTTATATAAATAGTAATTTTCTTACTTCGCTTATGCATCCGCGAAAGCCTCGGTCGACGTCGACTTCTCTATTAATCGTGATTCTTCTGTGATCTATTCCTCCGATATAAAGAGGCGTATTTAGGGTCATAGTTCGCGAAGCTCCGGGTGATTTGCCTTCCGCAATCGATTCGCCGTTTATCGATAATTTCGCATCCTTGAAATCACGGCTCACTTTTACATTCGTCCATACTCCGGGTTGAATTGGATGCGGAGATCTTATTACTGCCATTCCGGAACCGATATCGAAACGGAATTCAACGTGTTTGTCCTTTATTATCAGTGCTGCAAAATCTCCGAGGCCTTCGTCACTTTGAGAACAATACATCAAGATTCCATCCCCGGAGTCCGTAGGATTAAAACTCATGGCTACCTTAAGCCTAAAATTAGGTATAGAAAAGATAAACAAATTGTTATTGCACATCCGCAAAGAGAACTTTGAGCAATATATGCCACATGTTAATTACTCATTTGTTTATTTAATTTATTTGTCACCAAACTCTACACACTTGTATACTTTTTTTACTTTGGTTCTTGTATGTTACGTGACATATTCATACAAATATCTTGTTATATTTTTTATCAAAAAAAAAACGTTATTTAAAATAAGTTCAACGGCTATTAAGCCTGTTAAGATTTGCACACGGAAAATACGCACAAATAATGCATATCCATAGACACATTATTATTCCTAAAAATATTGGTTATCAGTAAATAAACAAAACAGGGAAGGATTAAACATATATGTACATATATATACACGAAAATATAGAAGCTCGTGCAAGTAACACAATTAAAAAAAGTATATTACAGATGAAATAAATAATATATTTTTAAACTTACCTTTCTTCGCCATCTTTTTAGCGTTTTATGATATATAAATTTGATAAAATCGAATAAAATTTACTTTTACTTAAATTAGAGTGTATTACTATTGTGTTAATTTCCGTTTATTTGCTTTAAAAATATTTATTCGTATAGCATGATTCCGCTGAGTATATAAACGATCATTCGCGTACGTGAAACATTTCTTTTTTTTAATATT